ATTTATGTGGGTATTATGGTTAATTTATATTTTACGAATTATTTTTTGTCATTTTTTTATTAGGTGCGCATCACTAAGATGTACACACACTCCAAATTTGAGATGATTTATATTAGAAAAAAAAAAAATGAAAAACTGAAACATTATTAGACAACTATGACCGTGCGATGAAGTTTGGTTGATGATGAGGATAGGTGAAATCATTGTTTATTTTCGCCTATAAGCATTTTGTAGTATCTTCTTATATATATATATATATATATATATATGAAAATATATGGGGTTAACCCACTATCTTATATGAACATATGAGTCCAACTGCTCAGATTGAATCTGAGCCGATCTGACGATCACGAATGTCTGGTAGAATTTGAATTTTATTTATTTTTTTACACATCCAAATCACTTGAAATTTTAAGTGTGTGTTCTTCTTATCAAGGCGCACCTAATAAAAATATAAAAAAAATTATTCGCAAAAACGTTTTTACCATACTTCACCAAAGATTTTTGGGGGTAATTTGGTTAATTTATTTCATGTTTTTTGATATTTTTTAAAGATTCATCTATTTATAATGAACTCACGTCTAAAATTTCAAATGATTTGGATTTGTAGAAAAAAAAACTAAAATTTAAATACTACCAGACATTTGTGATTGTCAAGTCGGCCCATAATCAATCTGGGACGTTGGGCTCATATGTTTATATGAGCTAGATATGCAATGATTTCTTGCAAACATTGTATACTAATATGATGTAAGAACCTTAAAAAACCCTTTTATGGCCAATTGTTTGATCTAAATTTTGAAATATACACTCTTTTCATTCTAATGAATAATTATAAAGACCGAAAAAATTGAAAACACAACCTAAAAAGTATTTTTTTAGCCCAATTAACATAGGCCGTTCATTTTGGTGAGATACTTAGGTCTAGGCCTTAGAAGGATTTTTTGATTTCCAATTGTTTTGGATGGATTTATTATTATTAGATGAACAATGTTAAAAAATAAAAAAACTGATTTTGAGTTTGTAAAGGCTAAGATCTTGAAATTCACAAAATGAATGGTCTACATTTATTTTTGGAGGGGATTCATTTTGACCATATCTAGGGTTCAAATTGAACGCTATTTTTTGGGGGAGTGATTATTGAGATGAAGAGACTGTGTGTGTAAAATTTGAGGCCATACAAATACCACAAATATGGTTTTCTAGGAGTGTCGCTGCATTGGAGTTATATATGGAAGCATCTACAAAACTTTTATAGGTGAAGTCCTACAAAACTTTAAACTTTACATACACCTCATCGTCGTTCAAAGTTTCACACACCATCACAATTGTCCGATAGTATTTAAATTTTTATAATTATTATATAAATTAGATATATCTGAAATTTGAGACGTATGTACATTCCCTATCAAGATCAAGCTAATCTTTCTCTGCGTAATCATTCCATTCCCTCTCTCTCTAACATATACCCGTGCCTTCAACTCTTGAACGCCTATTCAACGGAATCACTTATCTTAAATCCAATCCAAAATCCGTCGTACTAAAAAGAAGCAGGGAATGAAATCCGTCACTTAGAAAAGAATTGGAGGTGCGAATTTCTTAACATTTTTCGCAAGAAAAACAGATAACTAACCACGAACTGAAATGAACCCCATCCATTGACGACATACTGAAAGAAATTGCTTTTTATGCCATGTACATGAAGCAAAGAAACAAAGATCCTGGGTATACACCCCAAAACAGATTGAATGAATCAATGGAATAATTGAGTTACTGCCTCACATGGTGCTCTGTTAGCTCAAAATTTTGCATAAATGCCTAAACAGTCCCCAAAATATAACATCAAAAGAAACGAAAAACTCTCACCATGTCGTGACTGGAATCAGTTTTGCACCAAAATGAACAAGGAAATCTTGGGAAGATAGTGGGTTGGAAGGCTGCTCGTCTAGGTTTTCTTCGCGGACGGGGACACGAGAATCCGAGAACAAAACTCGACTACTGTTCCCCCTTTCGGAGTCTTTCATATCGTGATCCCCTTCAACCTGTAAACAAACCAACAGATCTCCTGGACCTTAGTCGGAGGTCCAGAGAAAGACATTCTGGACCTTAGTCGGAGGTCCATAGTTCTATATTTTAAAAAATGGTGAACATGATGGACGCGCTCTCATCGAGGTCATCTTCATGCTCATCCGACCCCTCTAAGCCCTCTTCGAACGACTGATCACACAAGCCCATAGACCTTTTTACGATCATGCCATAACATACAGAAAGACAAAAAGGAGAAAACCCAAGAAAAAGGAAAAAACCATTCTCCAATATTCCGAGTTTAAAACTCAAAATGGAACAGGAAAAGATTAAAACAAAGATTCACAGAAAAGAAATTGAGGAACGAAGGAAGAACCTCAACAGCCAAAGCATAGGCCTCTTCGGTGGAATTGAGGATATCCGCTTTGAATACCGCAAAATTGAGAGAAGCCACTAGCCTGGTGGTGTTTGCAGGTCTCAGTTCCGCCATAGCGATTATCTGAAGAGAGGCAAACACCAGATCAAACCCTCCTCACTTTCTTGAGTAGACATGAAGAAACCCCAAAAATTGATCTAGATAGCAAAGAAAACCAAGAAATAAGAGAGAAATGCCCCAAGAGTTTGTTACTATGGCCCCTTCATAGTTCAAGTGGGCTTCGTAGGCCTCAAGTAGCATTTATTCGTCGGTCTTGATCTCAGCGAGGTACCGAAAGTAGTCGGCCTTCATCTGCCGGTAGAAGACCCTGGCTTCGGCAGAGTCCTCAGATGGAATGAGGTAGGAGTTGAGAAAACGGTGGATACGCTCACAGATGGAAACGATCTCGGACGCGATTCGTGAGAGATAATCCGTAATGATAGCCAAGCAGTGGGGTTCGTCCTCGACCCTTTCTATGTCTTTAATCTTGCGCCATGAGGCCCTGCGAGGCTTGACCAGGGATTTGAAGGCCAAGAACAGCATGTTGCGCTCCTTTCTGTTCAGTGGTCGATGGCCGGTTGTGCATGAGATGCTGGTCATGTAGTCGGCTATGTCGTCGAATCTGTCTACCATCTCGGACAACAACGCCACGAATAAGTTTTCCTCACGAGCCTCTACCCTTTGGGCCCGAATGGCCATGGCTGATTCTACGAGCCATCTCCTCATTCTTTGAGAATTCATGAATCAGTGTGTGTCGCAGAGAGAGAGAGAGAGAGCTCTGGGTCGAGTGAGTAGTTTACATATATGAGACATAGACAGAGAGAAAATGATGAGCATTCTGATTTTAGAGAGAGAGAGAGGGCGTCATATTGCATTGGGGCTTCTCTGTTTTGGCCTGGCAAAGTAATGCAACGCCGTGATATTTCTCATGCTATTCATCCAAGCTCTCGCTTGCAATTCTTGGGCTTCAGATGAGAAATTGGACGATCGATCGAAGGTTATGGAACTGTGAGACCATTCTCGTCTCCGTTAACATGAAGAAGCGCGAGGACGTGGCCGTGACCTTCAACTGGAGCATGGTGGAACTACCACCATAGCGTTAGCTCCATTCTCTTCACATTTGACTCCTCCTTGGTACTCGCAAAGTCTTTAGGACCAATTATAAGAAATTATCCAAAGAAATATTTTTAGTTAATTGATTTGATAGGTTTGCAAGGTTTGCAGCCTCATCATAATAAGCAAAGCCTCATCATAATAAGCAAAGCCTCACCTCAAATGGTTGTTCTTGCTTGGAAAAATCTACAAATTTATCATCTCGTTTTTGGCCATTATGGTTGTCAAAAGAAACAAAATTGTATTTCATGTTTCAAAAATAGTAAATTTTGTAAAATATTATTTAGACCATCCAGTTTTCCCTAAAAAAAAATGTGTTCTAGATCGACATGTTTTGTGCAATTTTTTTAGCTTCAAATTTTATAATCAATATCGAAAATTGGTTCAGAGCTATCATGAGGATTTTTATGCCCAGGTGCTTTCCAGACAAGTTATGTGTTTACTATATTTCATAATATCTAGGCCTCACAGAAGCCACATCCAATTATTAAAGGGAAGTAACAAAAAATTTGAAAAAAATATATATAATGTAGGAACCTTAAACTACAGAAGTCAGGTGCATGTCAAAACCTAGTAGAAAAGAGTGTTTCCAACTTGGAAAACCTTCCGATTAATCATCTCGACCTCGAGATTTGAAGATGTAAAGAAGTAAAACGACTTTTAAGTCTTAAAGCAGTGCGTCTATTAACATGTTACCTGACCCATCTATTTTTAAGATTTTCAAGCGTTTATAGATATGCTCAATCGGCATCGCTTTTAAATTTTAAAATTGCACAAGTAAGGTTAAACATGAATTTTCAAGCCATTATAAGGTTCCCAACTTCGAGACTAAATCTTCCAGCAAAATTTAGAGACGCACCACCTTATATTTATATCCTTTAATAATTTGTAAAATACCCAAATTCTTCTACAATTACATCTACACCCACATCTCGTTTTCTTATTAAAATGGCCTTAACGTATCACGATTCTAGTAGAATTGTAACACTCTCTACTTTCACAACGGCATGACCCCTCTCTCTTTCTTGCTCTCCTTTTTCCTTATATAATGGGAATGGCAATCCAAACTATGAAATTCACATGAATTGGAAACGGTTTTACAAATTGTCACATGTTTGAAGAAATACACAAGCATAATATTTAAGGTGTTCCTAGGTCTTGTCTTTGCAATTGCGAAATAATGTTGGAAAAGTAGTTTGTGCATCAGGTAAATGCATTCTCACTATTGTTTCCTCTGAAGCATGTCGCAGCCGTCTTGGAGATGGAAGTGACGAAATGGTAGGCCAACAAAAAATTAAAATTGATAGAGTTAAAATTAGGAAAAATTATGTATGGATGCAAAAATTACTATGAAAATGCATAAAGGTCCATATTTTCTCAAATATTGTGGCCTAGGTCGGTCCCCTTTGTCTTTTTATTTTTATTTTCAATTTTCCCCTTATCCTCATATTACCAACATAAGACATGTTCTAATTTAATTTTTTTTTTTTTTTTCTCAAACATAGGGTTGTGACCTAGAATTAAGTCACTTATGGATGGTTCTGAGGTCAGGGACCTTGGAGCATTCTCTAGGTGGCCTAAAGACATAGGACTAGTTGTCGGATGTCCTTAACCTTGGACCGCTCTATGTATGGCCTAAAGCCACATACTAGTGGTCCTAGGTCTGTAACTTCAGATTGCTCTCTATGGGCTAAAGCCGTTGTACTAGCAAACCACACTATAGTGGACAGACCTTCTTGCAATGGTTGAAGCTTATGATCCAGAAAGGTTTCTTGCCTCCGATATTTGCATTATTATCGAAATTATTGGTTCTATTGGTGCCCCTAGGTTGATTCTTATTCTTTTGTACTTGGGGAGGAGTCAACACTATGACAATTTAGCTTCCCTGGGCAGTAGTATTATTTATCTTGTTGTTATTATTGCTCTTGGGTTTCACTTGGGATGGTGCGGCCACTGTCGGATTTTTCGGTTTCGTATTAACGACAACGACCTTTGACCTTTCATAAAAAGCGATTTGGTTGATCATTTATTGAAATGAGAAAGGTTGTAGCTCGTGGCTGAAGATGTTCATGTACTCTTATAGAGAATTCTCCAGGCACATGCTCAGTTGTGAAGTTTCAGGAAGTGCTCAATCATTGACTTTTGATGCGGTCTCCCTAAATCGGTTGGTGAAGTCAGCGCCTATATTTTGTTTCTTCCCCACAAACTCCCCTAGAGGCATTGGTTGTTGCTTCGTTCTGCAATATTGTTTGACAAAATATCGAATCAACTCACTAGGACTCTGATCAAGATATTTTGATACTTCTTGGAACCACGTTAAAGGTTGTCCGGAGAGAGTGTATTGAAACATGGTCATGAGACGGTATGGTTTCTTTTCAAGATCTAGAACAGTCAATAGGTAAGCAGTGACATGGCTGTCAGGGTCATTTTCTCGTCGAACTTATTGTCGAATTTTGGTAATACGAAACTTGGAGGAAGGGGTTCGACATCCCCAACTATGTTTAATGTAAGATCTTGGAGGGAGGGTATTTCAAACTCCAATCTTAGCTAAAGTTTATTTGATTGCTGATAAGGTTCTTTTCAGTTGGATGAGCTTAGTTGACTCAGGGGTATCAACCTCAGTGGTCTACTAGTTGCCCGGAACTGATGGCGTAGTTTGAGGTACAGGAGATGCAGTTGATGTGGGCTACATCGGACTCGAGGCAAGCTGAGTCTCCGAAGTGGTCGGAGCCAGTTTAGGAGGTGACACAAGCAAAGAGGCCTGGGTCGGGACGGTTGGAGCCTGATATGAAGTTGGCACAAGCAAAGGTGCCTAAGTTGGTGGGTAAAACTGATAGGTCTAAGGAGAGACCTGAATTGCAGAAGCCGTAAGCCGGGGTTGGTGACTGGAAGTGGACTACTGGGGCTTAGTGTATAGGATTCCCCAAGTATGGATGACTCCAGTCAAGGGGTAGGGAGCCGACTAGAACGACTGAGTTGGTGCAAGGGCTAAATAAGCCACCTGCAAGTGATGGTATGAAACTGGGGCGGCCTAAAGAGACTGCAACAGTGGTTGGTTGTCTGTGTCGTGAGGTGTCAGGTTTGGACTGGTTATGAGATGGTTGATCACTTGGTCGAGCTGATTCAATGGGAAGTTTCGGGCGAGAGGTTTGGCAATACCAGCTTCCCAACGGGGTTGAACTGACAAGACTGTTAGTCAGAGGAAAAAGAGGCTCCCTGACTTTGACCTGAGCGACGGCTTGGAACCTAGATGGGCTGTGTATCTCAAGGAGGCCAACGCGCCTCAAGAAGGCCTTAACAAAAGGGAGGTTCCAGAGGTTGTAGATTGAATGTAGGGAACTCAAACTGCATGCCCCATTTGGATGACTCGTGATGTCTCGGATTTTGACTCCTAGAGCCCCTAGTGTGGGTCTTTGAAGGACACTAACTTGGTTGGGCTAGACTCTCACCTTGTGTAGGTCAACCTGGGTCGAGATGACTATGTGGGTCAAGCGAGTTTGGAGGGACCGAGTGCTGGGTGTGTTTTTAGTCATATACATGACTAGATGCATTCTAAACACATGATCAATAAGGACATGTAAACTTGTTGTAAACATGAAAGGATGGATATATCTCTTAATCCCACATAAGACAAAGTGTGTTCGAATGAATGCTTGATATACTGAAATATTGTACAGCAATGCCCATGATGTGATGTGGACAGTTATCTTAACTCACAATCGATAAAGAGAGGAGTATTGTTCTTGATAATACCTACTCAGACATGCCTCATATGATATGATATATATGATATGATCAAGATGCATCATATGAGAGGCCTGATATGCATGTGGAGTCTTGATTCATCAGTTAGTTCCTAAATATTCTTACTCACGATTGATAATGATAAAATTCTAATAGCTCGTCAACTAAGCATATTCAATGTTGACTTAAGATATTAAAGTCATCTCATTCTGAGACAAATTATAGGATACGTATACCCCTATGGTCCTATACATTCCTATCCATGTAATATATGGAGGAACATATATGACTTAATTTTAGCATTTACCATTAATTATACCCATGTCTATTTGAGATGGAACTCTGGAATGCGTATGTTCCATGGCACAAAAATTCCTCTCCACTGTATAATAAAGTGTTTTGGGTGAGATGTGATATAACTCTTTTAAATCCATCAGTCATTACAAATAATAAGGTTTTAACAGATGGAGCATAGGGAAAACCTAGCCATATGTTGATGTATTGAGGTAATCTTTAAAGATATACATGTTGAGGCCTTCTATACTTTAAAGTCCAGGGGTGATATGACTTGGGCAATGTTTGGACCTGGCTTAACCCATACCCGTATCCACCGTCAGTCTTGATATGCCTTGACTGACACCCCGACTTGATGTTTTTTGGATTAAGCCAAAACTCTTAGGGACCTATGATCAAGCGTTATAATCGTCTCCTTGAATTTCATATCAATTGGAAGTAGCTTAACCCATCTTCCGTTTAGCCCAATGGTCGGAGCCTTAAAAGCCCTATTTCTTGTGTGTTATAGACAGAACGATACTTTGACCACCAAAATTGGGATTTCTTTTCCCATGGGACTAGGACCATTATATCCTTGACTCAATATTCTATCACACTTAAAAGGAGTGGAAATATTTGAAATGGGTGTGGGAAGCCGTTGCATCCTCAATTCCTTGATATCATTGACATAAATTCCTGTAGATATATGATGACTTTGGTGGACCATATCTTCTTCACAAAAAGTCCATTTTTAATGAGGTCAGAGTCATTGGGCTCATCTCTGAGTTCTCTCTAATCTCACCAAATTGGGTGATTATGGAATGTACATGGAGGAATGGGCAAGGAGAAGAGACAGCGTCCTAGTTCTCCTCATACGATAGCTCTGTTGGACCTCGAGCTCGTATATTTAAATTTGAAAATGGAAATTGACCAGATATGAATGAACAAATCTACAGATCACATAATCA